CTTGGGACTGATAATTTATAATCCAATGCTGTATTAGTCACTAATGTGTCTTCTAATCTTCTCTATGTCTGTTATTCCTACATAGTAATTTTCTGAACTGTTCAAAAGCTGAATCATTACTTGAAATTGAGTGAGCAATTTTGCTTCAGCTGTGGTGGATTGTTTGTTGAAGATATCCTGTTATCTTTATGGGGGGGTGGGGGGGCTGCGGAGACGGAGAGAAATGGGATAGTTTTGATTGTTTTCTATCGTAACTGTTAAAATAACCAAAACGTTTGTTCTCATTATGCTTGCAATTCCTCATTCTCCTTATGCTTCACACACTAGGATTAGATACACCTACTGTTTGGAATTTTTAGAGGGAAACTTCCCCTTTAAGGAATCCCTGTACCATATGTGCTACTCATGTGACATTGCTCCTTTTTGCACTCAATTCTATTTTCAACTACACAAAGCAGTCTTCCCTGCTTGTCGGCCTTTCCAACTCCTCCCTCCACAGGCTGCAGATAATCCAGAACTCTGCAGCCCGTGTCCTCTCCTGCACCAAACTCCGTGACCCCATCTCCCCCATTCTCGCCTGACTCCATTGGCTCTCTAACCTTCAGAGGATCCAGTTCAAGATTCTGGTCCTCACCTACAAAGCCCTCCATGGCCTCGCCCCACCCTACCTCTATGACCTCCTAACCCCCAACCAACCTGCCCTCTCCCTCTGCTCAGCCCCCTCTGGCCTGCTCCACGTCCCCCAACCCACCCGCCCCACCATTGGTGGGAGAGTCTTCAGCCACTCTGCCCCCAACCTCTGGAATTCCATCCCCCAATCACTCTGCCTCACCCCCTCCTGAGCCTCCTTCAAGTCCTGCTTCAAAACCCTCCTCTTCGACCATGCCATCGGTCACTTCCCTTCCCTTCCCCTCCCTTCTCCTGCCCCCGACCCCAGCTCGGGTCTGAAATGCTGAAATACTGTCCAGGGCTTTGGGGCGTCCTCCCGACGTGAAAGGCACTATACAAATGTAATTTTGTTGTTGATGTTCAGGTTAACATGGTATCGTTAAAGTCGTAGGTGAGAGGAGAAAATTAGGTTTTGAAAGTCACATTTTATTTAGTTGGCTGCATTATTTTGACATTCAGAGCAATACCTGCTGAGAGAATTGTATTTAATATAATTGTTTTAATCCATCACATTTAAAATATAATGATATTGAAAACAAACTTGATTAGAGTACATATATACAATTTTAACCAAATATTGACATAACTTGAATTCATAATTGCTATAATATCATACCCAAGTTTTCATAGAGAGAAATACTTCAATTGTTTCTTATTTTGTTCATGGGTAAAGGCAGGGAGGAATGAAAATTTCACACAAAGGAGGTTCTTGTGTATGAACAATTGAAAAACACATGCACTCTGTACACAGTGGACTTTTATCGACTAAATGCTTCTCTGGCTTGATTATTGGGTGTTTGAGAGAAAATGATGTCAAGCAGTGGAGTGTCAAAACTGCTAAGGCAATCTGTCATCCCTACCATTAGATTGGGCTAAGTGTCTGCCTGTAAATTAAGCAGATTTGTATAGATCTAAGCTCGACATCTGTGAAAGCCCACCATATGGTTGTATAATTTATGATCTTAAGCTAACCTGGTTTTACTACTCTTTTGGTTTTAAAGAGTGAGCCAAGCAGTATAAATTCTCATTGTGGTATCTTACTGCTTGAGTACTAGGATTTGTTGGGGATGGTGAGGTGGAGGGTGGTGGGGGGGGGGGGTTGCGGGGGAGTGAGATAGAAGTGGAATATACTTCAGATTGGTATATACTTCAAATTGGTAGTGACCTCTTGAATTAAGGTAATTACAAGTATCAGATCTGTAGTTTAGAAGCAATGTCTAATTTCACATAAGGATTGTAGTTTTATTTCCGCACCCTATGAGGTTCCAAAGTTTACAATGCGTCCAGAATGCTCTCCTGCAGGGAGAAAGAGGCAGAATCTACAACACATGCATAATTTTGAAGGCAGGGGAGTGCAGTTATATAACTGTGGACTTCTGCCTTTATCTGAGGAAAATCCATACTCCCAAGTTTCTAGTCTGAATCAGTGTCCCGAACATTATGATGTTGGAGACTTAGCAACATAAAGCATGTTCCTTTTGCCAGAATGTGGGAAGATAATCCACCTCCAAATTGAAAGCATTATAATCTAATTTACCATTTCTGGTATGAAATAAACATGTCTACAAGCACTGTGTCTCAGATAGCCAATTTGCTACAGGCGGCCTAGTAAAAAATAGTTGGGAAGAAATGAGCGAGTATCTTTGAGATGCTACCCTGTGTGAGGGGCGCTATATAAATACAAGTTGTTGTTGCTGTCTCTCTGCGTGTGACCAAGCAAGGAGGGTACAATTTGAAAGAATCCCTATTCAGGGAACTTGGAGGGGAAAAAAGGGATGGCTGCCATCTCATTTATATAATTTTGGCTTAAATTCTAAAGTAAGAGTAGAAAAGCAAGCTGCTTTTTTTTTTGCAGTCTCTGCAAAACCTATTCTTTCATAGATTTAATTCTACCCCTCACCTATTCTTAACTCCCGAAGGAAAGCTGTGTATCTTGATTTCCCCAAACCTCAAGTCAGTCAATAAAGCAAAACCTATACTGTTCCCACATTTCCCATGTAAAATACACCCATTTGTTTCACAGGTTAGTTTTTATCAGTCAGTGATGGATGCATACAGTTCAGCCCCATTATAATGCACTTCACTAAAACACAAATGTGCTTACAATACGATTGCACTATAGACTCTATTCACAGTACAATGCAGTTTATATTTATATCGTGCCTTTCATACTGGGAGAATGTCTTAAAATGCTGAATACTGCTGGCTGGGAACTCAAGCTGGGGGTGGAAGCCAAGGGGAATGGAAGGGGAAAGGTGATTGAAAGTGAGGTCAAAGAGGTATGTCTTGAGAATGCTTGCAGCTTTCCTGCTCACCAGCCAACTTTTTGTATTGGATTCTGTGTTCAATTAAATACGTCCAATAAAAATCCAATGGGATTTCTATTCCCTTTTTTCCTTCACTCCCCCCGCCTGGATCAACACTCAATCCTCTGAGTCAGAAGGTTGTTGGTTCAAGCCCCAAGTCGGGGCTTGGAACTAATTTAGTCTAAACTGACACTCCAGTGCAGTGCTAGGGGTGGGCTGCATTGCTGGAGGTGACATCCTTTGGATGAAACATTAAACCAGGAGGATGTTAAAAATCTCGTGACACTCCAAAAGTTTCTCTGAATGTCCTGGCCAACAAACCCCCAAACAGAATTGGTCATTCACTTCACTGCTGTTTGTGGGACAATGCTGTGAGCAACTTGACTGCTGAGTTTGCCCACAAAGCACACTATTGCAGCATATCCTGTGAAGCACTTGGTGATCTCCACCTGACTTGAAAGGTGCTATACCTGATGCAAGATTATTATCATCATGTGACAAGTAGTAAAGAACCATATCTTCACAAGGATTATCCAATTCAAATTCAAGAAGTCTTGAAATGCTCTAGGTCATGGTTGTATTCTTCCTCCAATCCCTTTTTATTAAAAATAAAAGTAGGCCTTTAGGGTTGTTGAAACAATACAATTATCCATTGTGCATTGTTCTGCAAAGAATGCAAATGGTGTGTAAATCCACGCTTTTATTTGGAGTCCTGCTCCATGACTGCTCATGGGATGGGATTTAGGATCATTTGCAACAGTTTCAACACCATGAATGAGGTATACATTTTAATATGGAGGATGGAAGAAAGTGCAATAATTGGCAAGAGTCAGAGATTGCTTAAATTCATATTGGTTACACAACTATTACCAAACTGAACATGAATAGTATCATTTATTAATCCTTGCATTTGATATAGCGCTTTTCACGTCTTCTAGACGTCTCAAAGCGCTTCACAGAATAGACTGTAAAATGAATTGACTGTATATTTGTGGGCGAAATGCGGCAGCCAATTGCGCACAGCAGTGTCCCACAAACAGTCGTGGATTGAAGTGACCAATTTATTATTGTTTTTTTTGAGGGATTATTATCAGGCGTGTGGAGTAAGGAAACTTGCCCAAGGTTTCACCCTGCCAGGAATCGAACTCAGGTCTCTCGCTTGCAAAGCGAGTGCTCTAACCACTGAGCTAAGGAATTCCACAAATTTGTACACTGAAGAATGTTGAAAATTGAGTTTTATTCCCCCACCCTCATAGATTTCTTCTATTTGATACAGTCTGTAGTTTTGTTTATTCCTACCATGTGTATTTGAACTCCTTCCTTGCTGTCTAAAGTTATTGGTGCTTTTCATAAATCTGATTGCAAACAATCATCAGCACATTAATGTATCACACACCAGTTTTGAATCAAAAAATGTTCAAATACAACAGATAACTTCGTGGCAGTTTCCAAGATATTGCTGTGTGCAAATTGGCTGCCGCCTTCATCTATAAAAGCACTGTCACTACAATGTGAAGTGCTTTGAAATGTCTATGTGAAATGACATTAGACATTTAATGGTGGTGGTTGCAAGCTTCACAAACGAGAAGACCTAGGTTCGATTCCCAGCAGGGCCAAACATTGGGCAAGTTTCCTTACTCCACACCCCTCTGTTTAACTAGCAGTAAGTAGGAACCCGGTTGATAGTCGATTGGTAGATTACTCTTCTGGGGGTAATAATCCCTTAAAAATTAAAAAAGATATAATAATAATTTGGTCACTCAATCCACGACTGTTTGTGGGACACTGTTGTGCGCAATTGACTGCCATGTTTTGCTCACAAAATATACAGTCAATTCGCTTTGCAGTATATCCTGTGAAGCGCTTTGAGAATCTAGAAGAGGTGATAAGGCACTATATCAAATGCAAAGATTATTATTATATTTCCCTTAACCATTTTGTCTGTTTGCCAAGCCATCATACTTGAAGTTATTCATCTTTGTTGAAAGTTTTTCTGTAATCTGACATTCTCTTGTTTCTTTCTAGGGCCGTCATGTCAAAACAGGTCAACTGGCAGCCATTAAAGTTATGGATGTTACGGAGGTGAGTCAAAGTATTGTTACTTCCATGGTTCAATATTACATTACACTTCCATTATTTAGCTTTTCTTTTGTTCCAATAGCAGACAATGGAAAGACTCTATTTGGTACAGAACCTCTGAGAAACGTATTTTGACTTTTTAAAAAAATATTCTTGATCATTATCCTATCTTGCCGTGCGTCGAACTGTCTGCTTGTCAGCTGACATTCAAATTAGACAAAGGCTCAGGTTGTTCATACTCTACATCCTGTCAATTGTAATATAAAGGTTTGTGAGATACGAGTGATCTGTCTCTACATGTCCCTGGTTTGTTGGTTCATTTGATAATTCAGTAAGTAAGCACAGTGTATCCAATTGATTATTTTTTATAAAAGTATGCTAATCCACATCAATTGCTACAATTTATACCTGAGGACCAAAGAATTGATTTCAGGATCATGTAATAATTAACAGTGGCTCAGATGGGATCTTGAAAATACTTCAAAGATTTGTATAAAATTTTCTTTTCACTATTGCTGTTTCTGGGAACAGAAATAATATGACTAATTATATGTATGTTCCCTTTCTTCTGCTTGGTTGGCTCTTTCCAATGATATGTGGCTGATGCTAAATGCAATTGTTCACCAACCACATTTGAGATGGATTTACTGTAATGTGTCATGACTGTGTATTTTCACTGTGTACTTGGCAGCCAAGTTGTGCACAGGAATGTTCCAGAAACAACTATGAAGTGAATGATCAACAATATCTCGGGGATTCTTGACAAGCATTACCAGGAGAAACTCCCTTCTTTGGGTGGTGCCATGGGATCTATAACATCCACCTGAACTTCCAGACGAGCTCTCGGTTTCCAATGTCTCATCCAAAGGATGGCGCCACTTGACAATGCAGTATTTCCCCAACACTGCATTGAAATGTCAGCCTAGTCTATGTGACTTCAATTTAACAATGTGGGGCTTGAATCCGCAACCTTCTGAATCGGAGGCAAGCAAAAGTGCTACTGTTGATCACTCTACCCTCCTTCACTGCTTCTCCTCTTACCTCAACCTTCATGCTTCAGTCCTTGAATGGGTCAGATCCAATCTGTCCCATCGCTCCACTTCATCTCTATAAACGGTTTCTCCTCCAGCTCCTGCACCTTGGGACGTCCTCCCGACGTGACCAGCGCTATACAAATGTAATTTGTATTGTATTGTAATTGAGTCAGGCTGATACCTATTCCCATAATCCCATAGTTTCCAGTTTCATCGTGAGGAGTTGATGAGGCTCTAGTTTTAAAGCTTTGACAACTATTTATAAATCGCTTCTCTTTAGAACCACAGTGGATGCATACACTGAAAACAAATGACGTGATGTTATGTAATAATTATGAGGTAAAAGTTCCACTTCAGCCAAAATTTACTAAATTTTCATTGCGATTTGTCCTTAATTTTGAAGCTGATTTTCTGCAAGTTCCTTTAAGAACTACAGAATACTGGTTTCGAAGGTAAAACTGAATTCAACAGTTTGCGAATTTTTTTGAAATGCTTAGAAAATGCACTCTTTGAAATGCTAAGACAATACTAGACCCAAGTGGAATTTTTCCAACTTTCCTATGGATTGTTGCATGTTGCACTTCATTTTAATTCCTCTATTATCAATTATGTATATCTTTCTTTAAAAAAAATGTGCTGCTGTAATTATTTGAGTAATCATCAAAGTACACTTATACAATGTGCACTTTTAAATTCTTTGCATCAATGCCAACAAGATAAACATGACAGCATCAAGTGATCAGTTTAGATATCTTGGAGGTGATTTGTAAGTCTTGATGGATTTACTGATAGGAACTATTTCTAGGGATAATATTGTCCCTTGAGATATGTTTTGCTTGGTTACTAGTATGACCTTGAACGAACCCATAAAATATAATTGGAAATGATAGATTAGTGCATAAAAAAACTTCATATCATTCCTATCCTGTTCATCAGGAATTTGGGATATATCTAACTGTTTATACTCAGATTTTTTTAGAAGCATGATTTTGAAGTTGTCCAAGAGAAGATACAATAAAAGCTAAAGGTGTACAGATCACTTTGTTTCTCTTGATGTAATTTTCAGAGATGCTTGCTGCACATTACCCAAAAGGAAGATCCCACAAAATATACAGTTGTGGTAAGAAAAAAAATGTTCTGGGGACTAAATCACTTAAATTTTGAGGTGGATTTGAAACAACTGCTTTATAGTGTTGACAAAAAACAAAATTATCATTTTATTTCCCATCTAGTTTTCTGGATTTAGCAGGCCATGCACTACCTCTGGTTGAGGAATAAATGAGTGATCAACTCCCAGGCTGCTGTTCTGCTAGCCATTGGCAGCCTGCCAATGACTTTTTCAATTTCTGTCTTATTCAGTCAGCTGGCATCTGTTCTCTGTTTGATATCTTCCCACCTGAGGTTGAGAATTCAGTGAAGGGAAAGGAATTGAGACTGCATCTCTTCACTCTCTTGTGTCCTTAGTGCTCCAATGTGCTGTGACACTGTGGTGCAGTTCCCTAAATTATTAGAATCTAGAAATCTTTCAGACTCTCATCTGGGATCTGCTTGTTTACTGTACTATTTTCTTACAGAATCCACTTAGTTGTTTTTGTTTGCTTTTATTCCATTATGTTTCTAATATTACTTGAGTTTTGCAAGCTCACTTAATATAACCATGGCTCACTTTTTATTGAAAATCATGGTGAAGGGAATGCAAAAACATTGCAATATGCAATCTTAAATTGAAAAGTGTAGTGGAGAAAACCAATTAATGTAAAAAAAGATTTAGGTAATGATAAGGTTGGGTTTTAAAAGATTGTGAATTATAGGTGGGAGTCATAATGAATGAGTTAGATTGTCCTCGTACAACTAATTTTAATTATACTACATTGAGGTTATAGGGAGGAGAAATGTGTATGACATCTTATTTAGAGCTTGGGGACACGGAAGAGAATAGTTTAGAGAAGCAGTGGTCTTAGTATATAAAGAAGAAGACAGAAGTACTGTTGCAAGCCAGGGATGTAGGATAACGTAGGACACCAAGTGTTTTGTTTCGCAAGAGCAAAAGCTACCAGAAGAGCTTTCTCAAATATGGAAGCAATATCCAATATATACCAATATCCCATTCATAACATTCTTGTGAATTGGAGTTTAAGTTTAACAATTCATTAATGAAGTCAGTTTTCAGAACAGATTCAGTGTTCTTATCTAGGCACAGTAGTAGGTGTGGTGTTCCATAAGGCAAATGGTTACACAAACTTACCAAAATGTAATACTTTGAACCTTAACATCCAACTGGATGATTTTTTTCCCCCTTTTTACGTACCTTTTTACTTATTCAAGAGCCCCCTCCCATACTTCTCTGAAAAAAAGTGTTGCTTGCAGCTCAAGTGAAACCATTATGTAGGCATAATGATTTTTATTTAAATCTGGCACCGACTTTATTCTTGTGTTTAAACCAATATTAATGCTTCAATATTGATTATTCAATGAAAATTTATCTTGCAGAGTATCCAAGCTAAATGCATTTGATTCTAGCTGGGTTGTGTAACTGTTTGCCCCATGGCTAGAAATGAACAGTGAACCTGTACTTGAAATGATTTATAATGATACATGAATTGTTAAGAGGAAGTCTTGCCATAGGCACCAGTTTTAAAATCAGGCTTATGCACAGAATTATGATTCAGATATTTGTTGATTGCTTGTGATTTTTGAGCTACATTTTTGTTTATACCTAGAGCTTCTGACCATGGGAGCTTTTAACTTTTGAATAGTCACTGAGCCAGACTGTTACTAACCTGAATTAACTTGGTCACAGACAAGCTCATGAGCCCAGGAATCATTAAGCATCTAGCTAACACTGCATCAGCTGTAACCCTTCTAAGTTGATGTCATTGGGAGTTCCTCCTTTAAACAAAAATGTGGTCAGACACTGTTTATCTGAGCAACTCAGGAAATGCCCTTGATCAAAGATAGCTGATCGCTTATTTATTCTAGGCAGTTTTAATATCAGTGCCTGTACAAATTTTTCCCAGAAATTGGAGAATGCCTGCAGCTAGTAAAAGTAACTCATTGTTCACAAATTACAATTGTATCCAGTTTATTACTGCTGGTATTTTAAAATTTGCCTGCCAGTATGAATAGAGCATATTTCACAGGATAGAATCATAATATATTACAGCACAGAAGGAGGCCATTCGGCCCATTGTACCTGTGCCAGCTCTTTGGAAGAGCTCCCCAGTCAGTCCCACTCTGCTGCTCTTTCCTCATATCCTTTTTTCCTTTTCAAGTACCTATCTACTGTACCACACACTTGGTTCTCATTCAAGTTTGTTCTGCAGTTGGAAGCGTCTATAAAATGCCCACTTTAAAGTGCCAGTTTGTGCTGTATGCAGTATGAAATTGTGCAAACATTTTTTAAAATAAAACTGCATTTTCAATTACTGTAAAGGTCCAAATGCACCAGGAAGCAAGCACTGACACACTACTGTGCAATCCTTTAAAAGCTCATGCATTTTTTACAGAAGTGCCTGAGTCAAAATGGTGATGCCTTAGAGTGAAGCATTTGTTACTGAGGCTGCACTGTAATCACAAAACCAGGAAGAAAAACCTTTCCTGTGTAACGGAAATCTGACCCTTGAAGCTTCTGGCTAGCAACTGCTGCTTAATTTGAGATGTTTCCTTCAGCATCATTGGTTCCCCTGGCTCCTACAATTTTCTTTTCAATCAAAGAGGGTTTCTTTCAGCCAGGCCACCCCAACCCCCCCAATCTGGGACTGATGTCCATCTCCCCTTTCCAGCTGGGACTGATGTCCACCTCCATTATAGCCATCTAGAAGTTGTATTCTACTTTTACAGGATGTTTATTTCCTTTTACAGGATGTCTTCATCTGTGACATTGCTTCCAATTCCCTTTTCCCCTCATTGGTGAGGCCTTGTCTTTTAGCAACTAAATGTCATTGTTTGCAGTGATCACATGTATAGTAA